TCGCTCTACCTTTGTCCAGATTCGGTAGGTCATCGTTTTATTTAAATCAGTAAAAATGAACTCAAGCACAGTTATGAAATGCACCTTGCCAAACAAGTAATTCATTGACCTCTCATATTCTAAATTCCCTAGTATTCATTATCCTACTGACAGTTTATCTGGCGATCCTGGTTATGTTATGCCTCCTTCATGCCATGAAACATTAGAAAGTTTAACTACGTAAGCAGCTGCACCCTAATTTTAGGAGCGGCGTTTCAGTATAATGAGAAGTCACACTGCACAGCACCTTTTGCATTGGGCATTTGACGAAGAGTTATCGACGATGAGGTTCTCTGGAAGAAGTACTGAACTAACTAGTTTCACACAACTACCTACTTTTCATCATGGGGGCCATGTGGAGCCCGATCGCTGCTCAGTTCGATTGACTCTTCTTGAAATTCCGGAGAAACTGGAGGCGCTCGTTGAAGCTGTGCAAGCGCGTTGTCGCGCTGTGATTGAAGCCAAATTGCCAGTTTTTTGCCAAGAAGTCAAACTGGAACAAGTTATTGAGGTGCTTTCTCTTTTGATGTAGTTATTTCATTTGTTCGGATTGGGTAATAGTGTGTTAGCTTGTCAAGTTGGTAAAGGTGAAAAGTTAAGCTTTAGTACAAAATACTTGTTTCTAATTTCTTGTGAGCTCTCGTGGAGTTGACCAACTCTCGTTTGCTCTTCTTCCACCTTTAAAATAAATGCGAATAGAGCACATTATATAATTGTGATTACTATTAACATAAATCGAATACTTGGGCACAACGGCAAACTTTGATTTTACTTTCTTAAACTTTCCGTTTCTGTTAACTGGATATGTAAAAATAATGGGTGTTCTCTTGAGACATGTTTTTGGTATTTGTACAAAGGGAGCTAATTTCCTATTTTTAGGTTATTAAAATTTTTTAAAAGGATGTTACCGATTGATCTTGCAATATTTGTTTTCCGATTATGCTTACTCGACCTTGGTTTGAGACATGTAGAACATCAGTTTAGGTTTGTTCTGTCGGTTACTGTTCCTAGTTTAGAGTTAATGAACGTCATACAATGATAGTAGTTTTTTAATGTTTTCTTGTTGCGCAGAAATCGTTTGTGAGGCGATTCGCTTGGGCGACCTACCCTCCGACGGTTCGTGTTGTTTGCGTTGGAGGTGACTTGGAAACAATCGAAGAAAAAATTGACGGTTCTTCGGCCTTTTATTCGGCCGAGTTGTGTGGAGGGACACATCTGAGCCATACAGAGGACCTTGTGGAGGTTACTATTGTTGGGCTACGATGTCGCAACCAATCGATTAAGGAGGTCTGCAATCTTTTTCATATTCCTATTCGTTTGATACCTCTTGAACATGGACATTTCTTTGATTCCTAGGTATCCTGTGTTTGGTCATCTTTTTCGTTGTAAACTGCACCTATTTGATGAATCTTGCAACACTT